TATTGTCTCTAGAGAGGTATCTTACGCAGACATCAACATCTCGAATCGATTTTTCGTAAGAAACTGATCTGGCCAAGAAATACATTCTCTGACATATTTTATTACGTTCATTCTAAATATCTCTTTGTCTGACTCGCGATTCACGGCGTGATAATAGAATCTGTGAAGTACCAAACGAAAATTGAGAAGCTCATTACAATGTATAATGCTCTGTGACATACATTAGATAGATTGAGGCTGTGAAAAGTAATATTGGTGTGAATTTGGCAGTAGCATTGGCTTCACCTAGAGATACATCTCATTCTAGCTGATACTCAGACTATCATACTCAGGATCGAACATTTTAAACTATCAAATCAGTTTCAAGTTTAGGCCTCGTATATTAGATAGATCTCATTGAAGTCAATGATGGTTTTCCGAGCTAAAACTATTATACTACAAATAGGTCTGTTGCTGAGGAAGACATGCTGAAAAGTTTTATCAAAATAAAAAATGTTTTCCTACCTGACGTACAAGAATCCCAAATATGACTCATATCTCATGAAGGACATGAAAATTGTTCTATTTTCCAAAATTTCAATATCTTGGAAAGAAAATATTTTTTGTCGAGATGAAATTTTTCTCTATATCTTGTTCGATGATAGATCTACGTAGGTATTTATAGTTTTAGCTCAAAATACCATTATTCACTTTCTTGGCATATATTAAACCAAAGGCTAAAATTACAGTAAAATAATGGTCAGAGTGAGGGTATGGATGTTCTGAAATCTCATGAAAATGAATACATCTAAGATATATAAAAAAAAGTCCCGATGGTCGTTCAATAATTATTTCTTCTTAAATTTGTTTTATTACCGGCATGGAAAAATCATTCTAGCTATCATAAGATAAACTGTCTTTTCACTGAAAGGACTTATCCTGCGCCGTCGATGAGTGGTCAATGTGGCTCAAGGAAATAAAAAGAATCGTCGGTGGCGCAGCTTACACTTCTATTTTCCAGTACAAAATAAAATATCGCTGTCTTTGCCTAGTCTATTCAATATGCGCTGAGAAGAAAAAGACGATGTGTTTATGATTACACCTATATCGTCGATGTAAAACAACTTTCTCGGTCAGTGTCAACCTTGTTCCGCCTATCTTAAACATGCCACGAAGGAAATGGCCAGACAACTAACTAGTTCAAATTCCAAATAGTAACAAAAAAACGAAAATTAGAAGATCAAAGTAATATTTCACGTTAGTATTTATCATATCTAATTTTCTCTTTTTGTTGTTTCAGTAAAAACAATGGATTCAAACAAGTCAGATATATCTCTTTCATTCTACAAAGAATAATCATTTATTTTCATTTAGATATATTCTTGAAGATTTAGCCAATGAAATTCTTTATGAAATATTTGAGTATCTTGAGTCATATGATATTTATAAAGGATTTTACAATCTTAATAAACGATTTCAAAATCTAGCTATTAATTCATATGTTTTAACTGAAGTCAACATTTCAATAATGTCAACATCGAATTAAATTACTTCGTTTATCAAATTCATTTACTGCTGATATTATTTTTTCATCACCACGTACTATTTTAAATCTTCATCATCTTGTAACATTAATTTATCTCATACTGGATTAAAACATTAAAAACATGTTTCTCCTACACTTGACTTCATAGGTTTTTATAGATTTTAAAAAAATTTATCAAAAAATTTTTCTATTATATTCAAATTTTACGTCTTACAACAAGCTATGATGACAGATGTTTAAATGCTAAACGATGACAAGAATTACTATTATCTCATATACCATTTTTACGTATTTTTGATATAAATCATAAAGATTGTATGGAGAAGAATAATTTAAAATATCATGACATAATTAATCAATTTAATTCTTCGTTTTGGAATGAAAAAACTGCCTTGTTACACATTAACATCGTTGGCAAGACTATTTAGATAGTGAAATTCTTTATTCAACCGCTCCATATCGGTAAATAGAAATAGTCGTTCATCTCGAAAAGTAGCACTCGTAACAATTTTTATAGTAATTGAAGAACAGATAGAATTTGAGAGCTGCAGCTTTTGTCATTCGATAGATAAAATGTAAGATTATCAAAGTTTATTGAAGAATGATTGGTTAGCAATTTAGTAAACAGTTGATCAGTATATAAGAAAAAAGTCTAAGACGATTAGTTTTATAGATTGAACATGGTTTTTATTTTATTTGTTTTCTATTTAAATGAAAAGATTATATGTATTATTGGAAGCCAAACGATCCAATATGTTCAGATATTCAAGAAGAAAATATAAAATTTAGTTAAACATCTTTATATGGGTAGTGAAAAAATTGGAGATAATTGTGTAAATTATTTTCCAAATGTTAATGAATTATCTATTAGAGATTATTTTAAAACATCAGATGATTCGATGATTGCAACTCTTCATCGTATGATTCCTTTAAGGCAATTGACAAAACTAGTTATTAAGTCTTATTTTTTTCTACTGAAAGATGTTATCAATTTATTCCGTTTGACATCTAATGTACATACATTAAGCTTGAAGTTATTATTATATTTTGATTGTATGAATATAAATTTGAATAAAAAAGATAAAATTTTTCAATATGTATTCAAGAACAATAAAATTCAAAATTTAGTTCTTAGTGATGAATGTTTATTGAGGAATATCGAATTTATTGTTTATTTATTTCCAAGATTAAAATATCTCAAAGCTGGAATGAACAAAAAATACAGAGGATAAATTATTCGATTTTTATTATCGAAAACTCATAATAAAACACGAAATTTATTTTATTTATGTATTTCGACGGCATCAAGAGTATGTCTCAAACAAACACTTGTTTTAATTAAATCAGAAAAGTTACTCAATGATTATTCTATTAAATATCTTACTCATGATTTACATTTATGGTGGTAAAAATTTAGTTGTTTAGCATATATTTCATTTATGTTTTTGTTATATATAATGGTGATTATTATTAAATAAATAAATCAAAGATTGAAATTTCAATAAATGATATGATTTTATTTTAATTAGCAGATCAATACAGAAAATCTAAAAAAAAATGGAAAAACTAAGGTTTCCTGAGGTTAATATTCAAAAAAAAAACTTTTTTTCAATAAAAAAATTTAGAAAATACTAATTTTCTGACTTTGACGTCAAAATGGTAACATTTTTCAGAAAATTGTTCGTTTGTTGCTTTTCTCTTCTCGAAATATTCGATTGAACATCTTTAGGCACTTTTGGTTTAGAAAAAAAGACAACCTACTTGGACTAACAGGCGAAAGAGCTTAAAAAGGATTTCATTGATAATCAAACTAAAATACTAATGAACATTATATATCTTTCTAGAGACTAGAATACTCCTTGACTGGTCTGCTCTTATTAGAAATGCTCGCTAAGCTGCTTTATTTCTGAATCCTTGGAAGTTGTCTTGGGTGTGGGTGTGCATATGTGTATAAGTGTATATGAAGACAGGATTGACATCTACATCACAGCCTCCATTCTCATGCATGTACTTTTGCATTCTTATTCCAATAATCATGCTTATTTCCAATAAAAACCAATTTTTGATAACTAAAACCTAGAAATACTAGTCGTCTTTGTGTTGGAATATTGTACGTGGAAATGTTCCTGTTCTAAATATAATGACCTGTTTTTTTTTACCAACACACAAAAGTTCAAGGTTTCGATCAGAAGTTTTGATATCATAACACTACCTCCTGGTACAAGAAATATTGACTGAGCGTACAGCTGCCATTTTCGTTAATCATGTTTTGTGAATTGTTGATTACTATATAGACCTTTTCTCTTCACAAATTTGAATCATAGTTATAGTTGAATTATTGCAGATCTACATGTTAAAACAATCTTTTTGATGTATTCGAAAATAAGCATGTAAATGCATCCTTTTTAATGAAAGATAGTACTCATTAATAGAATAACTATTTAAGATGATTTTATTTCTTTTGTCTAAAGAATCTTCAGTAGAGATTTGATCATTATTTATGTGAATATAGATGAGATATAAGTCATAATAACATATAATGCAAAATTAATGGGACAAATGTTGAATTCTATTTCTCTTCAATAGAAAGGGGCTTAACAAAAAGTTTTTGACTAAAACATAGAGCATTTTCTCCTCTTTCGAAACATCTATAACCTATTTTTATATTACACGCATAGATGAAACAACGTAACAGAAAAGAGAAGCACTCTTAAAAAGCATCTGCACTTATTCTATAAAAGGGCACACAAAATGTCGATCCGTACATCTTTTCGATAGATAGGTTCTGAAAAGGATATTTTTTTATCAGTTGATAAAAAATTTCTCTTTCTAATAGTATATGATTCATATTTGTCACATATTAATAAGTGAAACAAGACGAAAAAAAAAGAGAGAAATTCCTGCATAATAAATTTATAATTTTAAAATAAATTCATTAAAAATATCTTGTAAATAATAGCTGATTAAAATAAACTGACATTTTACAAGATGTTTTTAATCAGTTCATATAAGCATTATTAAATTATTGCGTTAATGTTTCACTTTCTTTCTTGTCACATTTCATTGACAAATATGCGAAGAATATAAATCATACACTGTTCGAAAAAAGAGAAATAGTATTAGTCCTATTACTTTTGCATCATACATTATATTTGATCTATGACTGCGTACATATTGTTCGATGCATGTGTCAGTTATCATAGTCATCGTTGGCATTTTAGTTTCGCTTTATAGACATATCGAGTTTAGTAAAATCGTGTTGTTTTGATGATTGATTAAATTAGATCTAGTGAAATATCATATTTATTTCTATTTTATTCGATGTTTTTGTCATGTACATCCTTCAATTACAAAATCAAACACTTTTTAGTTTGTAATAAGATCATTATTTTTTTTTCTATTTATTTGTATAATAGTCCATCAGACAGACTCATTGATTAAAAATAGATATAAATTTCTGTCCTAGTCTACAATAATGATTTCTGTTTTAAATTGGTTTAAACCAAGATGGCGTTTATTAATTGTTTTATTAACACCATTAATCTTTCTTCCGATACCACTTGTTGGTAGATCTTCTGTATGTTAAATCTTTTTTTTATTAGTTTTTCTTTTTTTTTTTAATAATTTTCTTATAGCAAGCAAGATGTGGTTATATTGTAATAATTTTAACTATATATTGGGTCTTTGAAGCAATACCTTTACCAGTGACTTCCTTATTACCACTTGCTCTTTTTCCAATGGTACATGAAAATATGTTTGTTTTTTTTTAATTAAATCATATTTGATATATCTTTAGGCTGGTGTTTTAACTGCTGAACGTGTAGCACCACATTATTTTAAAGATATAATTACATTGTTCTTTGGAAGTATGTCACTTGCTTATGCTGTTGAATCTGTTAACCTTCATCGACGAATTGCATTATTGGTATTGAGTTTGGTGGGTACATCAACAAAATGGTACTCATTATTTTTGTTTTTTGTTTTTTTATTCTTTTCAATTAATTTGAATATGTTCAGGTCTATGGCTGGTTTAATGGGAGTAACTGCTTTTCTTTCAATGTGGATTAATAATTCAGCAGCAGCATCGATTATGTTGCCTGTAGCATTAGCAATTACAGATGAACTTGAAAGTCATAGTAAAGAGTCTCAAGAAAAGAAAAATCGTCTCAAAGAAGCCACAGCTGCTGTAAATGGTAAACTGATGATACAGAAAAAAAAAATAATGTTCATATTTTGATATAGAAATGGTTGATGTAACTAGAATAGAATTCAATAATGAACGTTCAACAGAAGTCAGTTTAGATCGATTACATATAGAAGAACCGTTTGTATCGAATAATATCAAATCACATCTTCTAATATCGATTTAAACTTTTCGTTAAGGAAACCACCAATTCCTACAATATTAAAAAATCGTTTTCAATTACCATGGAAAAATCGAAATATACTGATGTCTGTAGAATCACACGAACAAAAATATGCAAATATAAGAAAAGGTAATTGTAATACATTGATAAAACAAAATCAGTTATCATAAGATTTTTCTTATAGGTTTTCTTCTTGCTGTTGCTTATTCAGCAACTATTGGTGGTTTATCAAGTTTAGTTGGTACAGCGCCAAATATTTTTGTGAAAGGTTTCGCTGATAGGTTAATTATAAAAAAAAAGAAAAATAAAAACGAAGACATTTCTCTTCGTTATGCATTTCTTCTATTTATAGTCAATACAAAAATACTGCTTTTCGTATAAATTTTCTTAATTTTCTTCTCTTTGCATTTCCAGTGGCATTATTAATGCTTGTTTCATGTTGGTTATGGTTGCAAGTTTTTTACAATTTCAAAGAGTTTGAATAGATTGTCTAAATCATTTTTAGTTTTGAATGCTTGTTTTTAATTAGATTATTTCAATTTCATATCGATGAGGCAACTAAAGCAGCACAAGCTGATTTAAAAGCAATGTTAATTCAACAATATAAGGATCTTGGAAAACCAAAGTAGATAAGAAACTAATAAATATATGTTCGTAAAAAATTAATTTTTATTATTATTTTTAGATGGAGTGAATTATCTGTTGCAATTGTTTTTATTTGTATGATTATTTTATGGGTAACAAAAGATTTTTCAGGTACACCAGGATGGGAAGTTATATTTGAAGATGATTATATAAGTGATGGAACAGTAGCAATATTCTGCGGAATACTACCATTAATTTTACCAAATGCAAATCCTTTAAACAGTGAGATCATTTAAATCATATGGAGATAAATTTTTCTTTGATATCATTGAAGAGGATTGGAAATATGAACCAATAATTGGATGGAAAAATTTAGCACAACATATGCCCTGGGGTGCATTAATATTACTCGGTGCTGGTCTTGCTGTTGCATCAGCTTTTCAAGTTTGTTTATTTTAATAAATCAAAAGAATCATAAAGTTTGTTTTCTTTTTGTTTCATAAGGCTTCAAAATTATCAGAAAGTGTTGCACGAGCACTTCGATTTCTAGCTGGTATACCACAAGCAGCTGTTATTTTAGTAATTATTATTATTAGTGGTCTATTTACTGAAGTAACATCAAATTTAAGTACAGCAAGTATCTTCTTTCCAGTTCTTGATTCAGTGGTAAATTGGAATTTCTCTCTCTTTTTGATATAAAAAAAAAAATGAAATTTAATTGTACTAGGCACGTTCGTCAGGTATTCATCCAGCATTGCTTATTCTTCCTTGTACATTAGCAGTTTCATTGGCTTTTATGCTACCTATTGGTAAATGAATGAAGTTTTGTAGGAAAAAAAAATATTTATTGTTGGATTTCTTTTTAAGCAACACCTCCAAATGCGATTGTTTTTGCTAGTGGTACTATTCGTGTGATTGATATGGTAAAATTTTTACATCTAATTGAAATATGAATCTTTGTTTACTAGGTAAAAACTGGTATTGTTATGAATATCATTGGCTTTTTTATCATTTTTTTTGCTGCAATGACTTGGATGCCGAAAATTTATGGATTGAATGATCGAGCAACGCAACTCTTTTTTAGTGTCAATACGACATTAAGCAAACCAGGATTCTATAATGAAACCAGTTGAACTTCTTTTTTCTGTCATAATGTAACCAAGCCTTTTTCTTTTTATATAATATTTGCTTGTCATGAAAAACACAACATTGAAATACGATCTATTAGGACTAGGAATACTTGCAGTTACTCATTTTTATCATCCTGCTATTATTATACGTTTTTCATGAGAACGAAAATTCATTGTCATATGTATATGTTACAAGAAAAATTAAAGTTTAGGATAATTTAAAACTTGATTTTTCCCTTTCAAAGAGTTTTGAATTCTTTCAAGAAACAATATACATACCACTATTTATTCACTTCTAATGAAAAATTAAAACACAAAGACGTGTTATGATCTCATGATCTGTATCTTTCTTTTGTAGAGTCTAGAGAGTGATGTAATAGTTTTCATAATAAGATAAAATATTTTGTGCATATTTTTAATATATGACAAAAATGGAAAGATGACTTTTTCCTCAGACGGAATGCATCTAGTAATAAAAACAGAATGATAAAAGTGACTAGCAGTGGGTCGGTGATTGAGTGAATGCCTGTTATAGTCTTTTTTGTTTTAAATTCAAAATAAAAATTTATAAAAACTCATTTTTTTTATTTATGTAACAGAATTTTTATCGTTCGTGAATAACTACGGTTACATGATAAAAAAGACCTTCAAAACTTTCGTAGGTAATCGAAAATGAAAAAGAATTGTTTCTGTAATGGCAAAACTCACATTACTTAGAATACGCATGTTTGGAACACATTTAAATCTTTTTGTGCTCTTTCGTATAAGTATCTTTTCATGAAAAGTTGAGTAAATGGAGATTTAATACACATACAAGACAGAACGATTAAAATTATGTCTATTCTCTATTTTCTCTATTTAAAACAACCATGTATACTCATAAAGCACATTTCATAATCATTCACTAGGCTTCACGCACATATTTTGTTGGCAGACGTATAATCTATTGTTCAACAGCTAGAATAATTCGGAAATAATTCTAGTTTTATTTGATATTTGCTTAGATAAAGAATACTGTCGTATTTACCTTAACCAGGTTTAACTTTTTAATAGAATCATATTGTAAAATTACCGATTCAAGTGCAATGATAGATAGAAAACGCTCGAGTCGAGTAATTGTATCAAAAGGTCATTGATTTCACATTAATAAGGTTGATAAGTAGCGGCAAATCGTCAATGATCATGAAGTTTTGATTAAGTCATAACCTATACTATATACAATGTGGACTAGAAACGTGGGTACGATTTCTAATTTTGGTAGAACGATCATATCAGTCAGATCTTGAGATTAAATCAGTTTTTTATGACTTGATTTGGTTTTTATCGAGCCAAAACTTGTTCCTGTCTGTCTAGCGTCTACTAGCGATGATTGTAAGCATTTTTTTTATTACAAAACTAGGATTTCTAGATGATGAATCTCAACGCTTTGTTTGTTCATTTATTAGAACATATTGTAAAGACTTTTTTCTATATTCATGAAGACTATCATACATTAAGAAAAATCTTTTTAAGAGTAAATTATTCACTGCTCAATTGAAAAAGAGTTTGATAAATTAATAATTGTAACCTATTCTGTTAGTCTTCATCCATAATTTACAATGCTCAACTTTAATAATAATCATAATGGTTAGTAAAATTACCACTGAAGTTACTTTCTGTCTAGATGAGGAGTATCATTGAACTTAGTTGAAAGATGCGTAAACCTTCCTTGAGAAAAAGAAGTGTAGTGCGAGAGAGATCAAATCTTTGGATCCGGCTACTCGTTTTGAAACTTGTCATGAATTTACTGTTCTTTACTTGTGAGAGAACTAACAGAACTGATACCTGACATTTTATTTTATATTGGGCTCAGGAGGACGCCTTGATGAAACTAACAAAAAGCTAAAAGGCTGGGTTCGCAGCAGCTCTTCAAAAATATATAGGAATATATAGGAATTGTTAGATCTCAAATATATAGGATCGTCCTCGGATATATAGGAAATATATAGGACGCTAATATTTCGTTTAAAAACAACTAGACATGTAAAAATCACTACTGCAGAATGGTAGGTGATGTTCTTATAACGTATCTCGACTCACCTAAATAAAAATACAGCTTTGTTATGAAAAACAGTAGTATGGCAATATTTTATACAAAGACAAAAAGAAATAATTTATGTTCGGTTAACTTTCAACCATATCACAGCTACATGCAAGGAGAAAACAGGTGAAATCAGATTCTTTTTTGTTGATTTTGTTGATTTTCCTCTTGATTTTTCTACATTAAAACCGACTGATTTTAAACGAAGAAAATAAGAAAAATCAAAAAAAAACAGAAAAATTGAAAAAAATTAAAAAAAACATCGGAAAAATCCAAAGAAGCAAAAAAAACAGTCAGATTTCAACTGTTTCACTCTCGATTGATATTTTCAAGCTCAAAGATTAAAAATTTTACCATTTTCATTGATTTGTCTGATGTTTTTGATTTTCATTTTTGATTTAAATCAAAAAGTCAATTTTTCCTCCCTTGCCTACATATCATAAAAATATTATAAAATTGACTGAGATAAAGATCACAAAAATGCTTTCTTTTAATGTAAAGAAAACAATCGATATATTTTGTCAAGACTATTATAGTTTCTAACAGTCTCAGAGCTATATAATCAAAATGTATACATATTTAAAGCACAGCAAAATAATCGGTTTAGTAACAGATAGTCGATGCATTGGTAAAAGTTTTCTTAGTTTCTGATGCTACTTGAAAATAAACACCACCGTTTCTAGTACTATCAAACATAATAGAATCACTTTCTAGCTGCAACTTTCTTTAAATTTTCTGTTGTCTTAATATCACTTTTTTTGAAATAAAATTCATCACAAATATATAGATTAGCATGTGCTCTTTCACTGTTTATTGCAATAACTACTGACGAAACACATGTAAATCTATACATTTGTGTTGAATTTTATTTTTTTTTAAAGTGATATTAAGATGGAAAAAACTTAAAGAAAATATTGCCCTTAGTGCTTTATATTATGTTATGAACGCCGCTGATAATATTTAAACAACATGCTAGACACTTATTTGAAAGCAATATGGTTCTTTCCATAATAATCTTTAATTTTTTGAAAAATATAGGAATATAGGAAAAAAGCTCAAAATATAGTCTATTATAGGACTAACTTGAAAAATATAGGAAATATAGGACGACTGCGATGCCAGATTGTTTATAGATTTTTCTCAAGGACGTCACCATGCTTTTTCTTTCTATGATTGCCGTAATTTCTTCACTTTATTCTCTATCCGAGTAGTCATTCTGATTTAAAGAGAATATGGATGTGGATACCCATTTTTTTACACCACCCAAACCCACACCCACAACTCGCTTCTGATCTTATCAAGATATTTAGTATTCTACTGTAGATATAAATGATATATACGACTTGCTTATTTGCCTGTTAAATCCATGATTAGAGTGATAATTATGTTGCATGAAGAAAAACAGAATATAAAATAAAAAACTAAATGATGAGAGAATAGCAACAAATTAAACAAAAACTAGAGCTCTATTATGAAAGAATTTCTTTTTGAAACCCAGATATAAATCTGAGAGATCACCGCTTTGTCGATCGATTATCGTTGAAAAACAGCTAATCTTGTAGAGATCTTTTACTTGACACATTATTCATTAGTATTGTAAGATTTAAGAGCATGCATGAGTAGCTTCATAATGTTGTATGCTGAAGGAGATATACCAGGCAACCTCATTAAAAAAAGTGTTCTTGAGTGTTATGAATAAGATAAACAAAGTTCTCGAGCTCATTTTACAATAAGTATTATCAAAATATAATCTATGTTAGGCATCCGGCTTTTTTTTAATGAGTAATATTCTTCGTTCCGAAAGTAAAGGACATGTCAAGTTAATTCAAGTATTTTTAATCTAGTAGCATTAGATAAATATAAAGAAGTTCGATTCATTCTGTCACAGTTGATAGAAATATGCAAGGCAAAGTAAAATTTAATGTTATTCTTTTTTTTTTTTATATCTCAGCAATATTTCTTTTTCTTATTCTGGATTGATTTTACTAAGTTACTGTTTTGATATATTATTATGAGTTTTTCTTCATCAGGATAAAGTATCAATCAACTATATATGGAAAAGAGAGTGAGACAAGATAATAAGAGGGAAATTCAAAGAGTGTCTGATCTGCCAATATAAATTCAATATGATCCCATCGAAGTCTGATTGCATTAAATATTTTCTAGTTGTCATATAGAATATCTGGCGATTTTCGGCAAGATTCTATTTGAAGTTTTTGAATCTTCGCCAAACTAATTGAACTATTTCGAGTACAATGTAGGATTCGACAGAAAACAAGTTTCTTTGTTCTGGATAGATTAGAAGATGGCTTTAGATTCTCTATGAAATTCAAAATGAAGAGCTGGAATCGATTTAAAATATGATTATATTTAGATTTATAGGTAATTTTATATCGCTGTTGAAAGCTTCAGCAAAACAGCATGACTAACTATATTACTCGAACCCCAAAAAAAAAAGATACTGGTTGACCGTTCAGTCTAATATGCACTATAACACCAGCTCAACGATGATATTACAACGATAGAAACTTGAAATCAATGGTAACCTAAAAATAAATGTATATTGTCATAGGTAGAAAATTAGTCAAATGAATTGTCTTTCTAAAAATTTTTCTTACTTTGTATATTTACAAAATCTTCAGTTGTATTTGACTGAAATCTGACTGTTTCTAAGAAAAATGTAAGAATTAATATTCATAACAGAACTCGTTTCACTAATTATCTGCCCGTTACAATGTACATCTATTTTTACAATCATATCGATACGAACTGTAGACATGATTAGTAGGCGTTGATTCTTTGCTTCATCATTTTATTGACTAGAGCCTAAAATAAATGACAACTTTTATTTATAAAATATTATACTTCGTGTTATTATGCAATCTGATATGTCTAATTAATATATAAAAAAAGGACTAGAACTTAATCTAACTAACTCTACTGAAACTTTTACTAAGTAAGAGTAAAAAAGGGAAAACAATATTCTCATGCTGATTGCGAATGAAACTAAAGAGATACTTTTGAAATAAAAGTTAGCCTAGTAAAATATTAGATGGGTGTGGGTGTGGATGTGGATATGAGAGATAAGAATATCCACACCCCTACCATCACACACACACCCACACCCACACCCTCAGTTAACACATGAAAGGCAATGAAAGTACAATAAGTGCTACAGTGACTTCAGTATTCGTGACATTATTGTAAGTATATCGGTGTTGATATCAATAGTGCACATCACTATTTACATTTGACAAGAAATCAATATTTTTCAAATAGCTTTCAAAATAAACAAAAAATTTCTTCTATTTTGTTTTTTTTTTCTATGCGTTGTATTTCTCTTATGTGAAGAAGCAAATATTGTGTTCTCATTCCTACATTTTGCATAATGAACTAACGTGAAGTCAACCTTGCATTGATAATAAACGTATCTGATTAAACGTAAATGCAGAGGATAGAAGATAATAAGATACATGTTTCTATTTAAAAGCATTTATCATGCACAAATACATCTAATCATGACACTAATAGACGTAAATTCTTATATTTTTCCTGCGTTTAGATTTATCGTTTCACCATTGACGGTAACAATAATCTGAATCAATTTAAGACGAACATTGTAGATTTCAGCTATTGATTCCATATAAGATAATAATTGCAAATAGTCCATTGAAAAAAAAAGAATCACTCACATGCTTTTTACTTCTTGATAAGATATCTTTCACTTATAAAAAAGAAAAAGACAAATTTAAAACTATTGATTAATGTTTTCTATTTATTAATAGAGACCATTGATAAATCAAATTAAATAAAGCTAACTTAGGAGAAAAGATATGTTATGATAAAGCAAAGAAAGATTTATTTATTGTTTTCGAAATTTTGATAGTTAAGAATAATCGACACTAATGCTTTGCACTTTATTTCACATACTCGATTGTGTCGAGATGGTATTTAGTTGTTCATAAAAAAAAATCATCCTCAATTACTTAAATATGTTGTCTCCAATTTATTTAGTAATATCTAAGATTACAATCTGTTCATAACTGCAAATATAAATCATGGAGAATATTATTAAGAAGAAACCTTTCCACTAGCAAGACTAAAGACATAGACATCAATATCGTAATTGTGGAATGTCATCGTTCTATATTATAGTTGTATGCAACTACAACATATTGTTGTTGATAATTCTATTAAATACAGAAATAAGATCTCATCTATTCAAAAAAAAAAAACAGAGAGAAAAACTTCACTTAATTAAAAAGAACCAACTAAGTAGTTATTAATACTTCACGCTTAAGATGCTTGCAAAACATAAATATGCAATTAAGAAAAATTACAACTTTAAAAAAGATAAGCTTGATTGTAGCAGTAATGACATATCCTTTGAATCAGAAAATAATTACGGAAATGAATATTTCCTGTTGTGAATCATGCTTAGAAAAACTTATTTTGCTTTTCTTTCGTAATTGTCGAATATTTCATTAAAACAAAAAAATTTCTTTATAGAGATATTCATAATGTTTATATTTAATCTATTACGATCAACATACAATTATTGTCGTGTAAAACTCATCACACTCAATCTATTTGATTCTCAATCAACAGATCCAACAAAAGTGTATCATGAAATTCTTTCAACTCGTTTATTTATTGTTCTATTTGGAGCTTCACTTATTATACTTACCACCTATACATCTTTTAGTCCACAAATGACGACTGAAAAGATTCAATCACCGTCTATATCTGATTATGAACGACTTCAAAAACAATATTCGGATACTCTTCAGTGTTTATGTTCAAAGATATCGATACCTTATTATCGTTTTACTAATGTTGATTTGTCATTTCATCAGGTTTGTTCAAGTTATTTTATTTCACAAGAATGGATTGATTTTCTATTCAAAAATGATGGTGGAAATCTATGGCCAATGGATGTGCGAACAAGTTTAAGTGCTATGTGGCAACTGATTACGATACTTTGTGCACACTCGGTAAAAGTTTTCTACAATGCACTTTTTGAGTTTGGAGTGTCGTTCATAATTAGTTCCACAGTTTTATCAGAAGATCGAATTCAAATTAATATTCAAGAAGCTGTGAATGAAATACAACGAACCGCATCCAATACGTTTTTATTACCACTTACTACGATTCAACAAATTACACAAATAAATAGTTTTATGACAGGTACATCAATAAACTATGGCATCAGTGAAGTTAGTCAACCGCTTGAATTGATTGAATCTATTCAAGTTATTGCAAATAAATATTTACGAAAAGGAACAACAACTAATTGTTCATGTTTAAATAAGGTATCATGTCCTATGCCTGGTGGAATCTATTTATATGATGTATGGAAAACTGACGGATTTTTTGATCTAAATACTCTAGTCCCTAATGAAACATTGCCTGGTCTTGTTGTTGATTGTTTACCACTTCAAACGACATTTGCTTCATCATTGGAATGTTTCTACAATCAAACATGCCTCAATAAACTATTTTCGACCTATTCAACTATGATCAATGTTGAAATACTTGATCAATCTTTATCAAGTCGATTTCCATTAAAAACAAACATCGAATCAATTGTTCGTGAATTATTTATTGAAAAGTTTCAAATTCAAACCAATTATAATTCTTATTTCGATGCATGCGCACCAGTTTACTGTAGTTATACTCGTGCACGTCGATTTGACTGGATCTATGTTATGACGACTCTTATTGCTCTATATGGAGGATTGAATGCAGCATTTTATATCATTACCCCTTACTTGATCGATTTACTGTTATTTGTGAAGAAAAAAATATCTCGACGAGATCGATTTCAACAGAACGAAAGTAAGTTTTCAAACGTATCTAGTAACACTAGAGTAGAACTCAAAAGATTTATAGTTTTTATATTCAAATAAGATAAAGTTTGTTTTTATCTAAACATAATATGTATTTCAATGATAGGAATACTAACAGGTGGGGGAGAATAAATGACCTTCTCAACACTGTGAAGGACACTCGCAAACCTAACATTCTAAAATTCAGCTATTGTGTTCGCCAGAGATTTGCTATCTTATTCACTACAAAATAATGGGTAAAACATGATCTTGATACTTGATATATTTTCCTAATTGAATAGAAATCGAAGCAAAGCAAAACTTTCAAAAAAAAAAATAACAGGAAAAGCGTCTTGCATTATTATCAGTTTGAATGTACATGCTATGCCGATATTGAATAGACCCAAATATAGTCCTTGAAATGTTCTATCGAATGGCTACCATACAAATTTTGCATTCTAAAATATCTAACATCACTTTTCTGAATGTAATTGAAACGCTGAAATAACTTCTGTCTTCATTTTTCGGATTCCAGTCATTCAGTGAATATTTTTAACGGCAGTGAATGGATGACGATAAAATGAATCTTCTAGCAGCTGAATACAGAGTAAATAAATGTGCTATAAAAATGATATGATATTTTCTTTTCTGTCACATTATAAAGTGCCAGCAAAGCAAATTTGAAGTAAAATTGTTTTTCCCTTTTTTTTACATCATACTATGGCCTAGTAATCGCAGGCAAACTTCCAAAAAACAAGTGAGGGGTCGATTTCTTCTATTAAACTCGTTACATGCATTTGCATGGGCTTTTCTGTCATATTTTGGAAAACATTGGAATATTTTGATTGGTTATCAATGAAGAATATTTTCAAAATAAAATGAGCCTATGTACAAAAGAATCAATGAAAGAAAATGCTGAAAACATGCGCCTGTAAGTTATGCATTATTTTCATGATGTAAAATACACCAATATCATCCTAATTCTAACTTTGAGTGTTCTTCAAAATATGTTAAAATCGATCAACTAGGTTTACAGATAAGGATTGTTAACTATCAATGTTTTTGTTTCCAATGGGAAGCATGACAATTTGAATAGCTCACCAACCACGTTTGCAATAATACACTGCTACTACTCTTATAATCGTATCACAGATTTCGATCAGTATAAGTAAGATATGTATGTAAAATTTTAGTAGATATGGTTCATGTCGTCAATTTTTTATCAGAAGCGACGATTGAAACGTGACGTCTAAATTTTGATGCAAGGCATTTCCAATCCGACCTTTTAGCTTGATTAAAAGTTGCGGTGGTTCTCTAACTGGAATGAACCTAAATTTAACTTATTAATCCTCATAAAGAGCTCTTGAGATGATTTTGAGCCCGATCCGAAATTTCGATGATTTTTTCATGTGAGCTGAATAGCATCTCGGATTTCGGATTGTGTTTAACGTCCGGGTCAAAACTTCATTCGACTGAGTTTCTTGTAATCCGATAGTAATTTACAAAGGTCGATTACCGTATGTTATAATGTGTTTTGTCGGATGATGCTACACTTGATTCTGTTCGTTGAATCTTCTAAGTAATGTGTTCTTTGCGGTATCGTTATTAATAAATAATCAATGTGAACAATTAAATGATAGGAAATCCTTTGAGTTATATAGAATCGTTTCGTTAGATGCCTTTTATTTATCGATGTAAATTTGAAAAAGGATACATACTGAACATGTTTCTTTCACTTTAACCCAACATTATCTCACTGATTGAAAGAAGATTTGATAATTTAAGTTATCAGTTCGTAGAACCAAACCAAAATTGTAATTGATTAAGCGATTATAAGCAAGTGAAAGAAGCAGTCATTCTTGTGAGACGACTGTTTGTAAAATAGTATAAAGAACGACATTATGTGCTTTTTTAACAGAATCTGATCTACTAGTAGTAAACTTGCATGTGAATGTTCAATCTATACTGAATTCTAATCATGTTTTGGTTTTCTAGTTGTTAAAATTCACATTCTTCTTTGGCAGTGGTTTCATAGACTGAAAGTATTTATAATTGAGCTCAATTTGTTCGACAATTATTCCGATGATCCACTTGATATTCTTCGTGGACGTATCTCGACATGGCTTTATATTATACTGTTAATCACTATTATGACTATTATAACTGTATTTACTATGAATACATCTTATTGGGCAACTGAAACTATTTATTCCCCATCAGAAAAGCAATATGAAGATTTATATCAACAATATCCAGATACACTACAATGTCCTTGCACTAGTATTTCGAATCCTTATGGATCATTCGTCCGAGTTACACTAAGACAGCATCAAATATGCGAAAGCAATTTTGTTCAACCATGGTGGTATCAAACTTTAAGTTCAGCAGAAAATTATAATTCAACATTGAATTCTTCTATATTTATTTCCTCTTATTTTCGAACAATATCCATGCTGTGTGATATAACAAAATCAACTCTAAACGATGCAATACGTCAATTTTCTTCTACAACATTTGTGAGTTCTCACGTTCGTCAAAAGCAATTCATCGTTTTACAAACGGATCAACTTTTTTCAGTGCTTAACTCTTCGGCAATAACTGAATTCGACAATATTATATCGCTAATCAATGGAGTACTTCATACAAATCAATATATTAGTGGTCGACAAACAAATGTTTTACTCAAGAAGCTATTTTTCAACGGTTCTAATCAAGCAAGAATAGTTCCTATTACGAATTCTGGCTATGATGACAATGGTCAACCATGTTATTGTGCTCAAAATCCATTATGCAACATAGAAACACATTATCGAGATTCAATATCATGGACAATACCAGGTTTATCATTCAACTGTTTTGTATTCGATTCAGTATTGAAATCATCTCTCATATGTTGGTATAATTGTCATTGCCTAAATGAACTGTTAATGAAATTGATGGTTTCTAATAAGTCCAAAATCACAAATATTACTGTTCTTGATGATATGTTGCCAAGTAGATTTTTTCCGAATACTACAATAAAACTTCTACTTGATCAAATGATGATTGAAGAATGGAGTGTGATGATTAATTACACTGCCTTCTATCATAACTGCCATCCGACACATTGCACATATGCTTATTATGACAGATATAATGTACTCTATCTTATTGCTACAATGATGGGTATTTTTGGTGGTCTCGACGTTATTCTTCAAATAATTTGTTTAATTGTAGTTCGATTCTTGTTTCGATGTAGGAGCACATCACATGAAGTTAGTGCATTGCTCCCGAACACACCAAAAGCATTTAATCGTAAGTAAAGATAATAATGATTATTCTTAATCATATTGGAATGTTTCGTTCCTGGATAAGAACAATTCTGAAAAACAAAGAAGTCAAGTTCCAAAGGATCATCCGAAAGAGAAAAATTATTCACAGTGATTCCTGTTGAATTCGAATGAGAAACATGATAAATCTACTCTATTTGTAAAGATGAGTCGTATTTCATGTCAAGTATACTGTGTATAAAGATTAGACAAACAAGTATATCCATCTGTTTGTCATGCATATATGTAGTAGGCTAAAGAAGGTAGTCACTTTTCTCGCACTCTACTGCACCGTTCACTTACAACTATATTTCACAAAAAATCGACATATCTCAGAAAGCATGTTATGTATCGAAAAAAAAATATTTGAGGATATCTTCTTCGACAAAATAGAAATAAGTTAGTGTATGCAATGAAATTTGCACTTGTCTTCCTGCAAATATGAGTGTCTTTGTATCACATTTCATAATCTCTCCTTAGTAGATCCAACAATATACTCTATAAGAAACAGTTTTTCATTAGTATTTTGTCTCTTTTGTTGACTCTATGATGTCCTTTTTATTTAAATTCGAAATTTAGCAAAAAAAGACACTTTTCTTTCAACGAGAGCAAAGGTCGAGAGAAAGTTTTAAAAAAATTCTCAATCGCTCCATTTTATTGGTGCGAGGATATTTTGAACTTCTGGACAACTATCGAGTGGTTCAAAAGGTAGTGCATGAAATTTCGTGTGAATTCGTTTACTTTATTTAACACATATGATTGTAATTCTTTTTGATTAAGCGTACTTATACACTAAAATTAAGTGTAGTGTTTAAATATTTTTCTTCGTTCATTTTTTTTTGACTGAACGTTTTAGCTCTTCTATCAGTAGTATTTCGTAGCCCGAATTTATAGTTTCAGTAAGTTCATTCTACATAGTTTGCGCAATTACTTTCATTTAAAAATTGCGTTTCATTTTGCTCTACAAATTAAGAAAATCACAGAAGATTATGCCTACGTCTTTTTATTTTATCTTTCGTATTCATAATATTATTTACTATATTTCAAACGAAATATTACTATGGACTTCAAACTTTCGTGTTTAATAAATTTGAGTAATGTACGAATGCTTTCGAAATAAAGTAAATTATCTTGAACATGACCTTATAAATGTAAATCATTCAAACAAGAAAATATTCTGATGACTATTTCATCAACTAGAAAAATGAATCTAAGTCGATCATTTAGTTGGATACTAATTTCTTTTTTTAATCAGTATTATTTCTTATTCAGCACTACTTACAAATCGAATTTTAAATGCAAAAAAAACAATGTGACTAACGAATTGCGAACAATACATTTTAAGGCTGAAGCTTTACGTTCTTTATGATGTTTTGAACTTTGAAAATGAAGATTAGAGGTTGGAGCCAAGTTTTTAATCAATAATTGATGCTAATCATTCGAAGAACTCATTTTAGAGCATCATCAATATTACCTGATTCTCTGCAATGCTTGGAATACTGTTCGACACGAAATTAAAACCTATAATTTATTTAAAAGTGGTTCCAATCAAATGCATATTATTCTTCGTGAACGTTACTCAACAAGACTCTATCTAATTTTTTTATCTATCGGTATATTTATCATCATTATTTATACGATTTCGTCGAAAGAAATCGTTACTGAAACAATCGAAAGACCTACTCTAGAAACCTACGAAAAATTGCTACAATCAAATGACTCCTCATGGCGATGTCCATGTTCCGAGATATCGATAAGCTACAGTCAATTTATAAAAATGAATATTACGTTTCATCAAATTTGCTCAAGTGATTTCGTAAAAGAATCGTGGCTTGATTTATTGTTCAGCAACAGCTCGTCGTTAATGTACGAGCCTTCTGACTTTCGTATGATTGCATCGGCATATTTCACTTTTCTATCAACATTGTGTACACTTGCGCAGACAACCAAGCAAAATGATATACAGCAGTTTCTATCTGAAAAACGCATTGGTGCTCAATTGATGCCCGTACCATTGTACCAAATAATACTGGAAGATGCTATGTATCAAATGAAAGGGCCCAGATCTAATCGATTATCTCGTATTTTAGAGCTTATACAGGGTATTATAGATGGAAATACTTTTGTATCCAGCTATTTATTAAATTGGTATTGGCCATTATATAATAATAGTAATGAAACAATAGTTCGAGCACATGCTATGACATTTAATAATTCATGTTCATATGGAACACTAATTAATTGGATTCAATCTGAAGTTATTTATTCTTCAGCGCTGAATAGTTCACATTGGATGATGCCTGGACTGAATATAGGCTGTTCCATTGTGGACACAATGCGACATTCAACACTTCAATGTTTGTACAATCAAACATGTGTTGATCTATTGCAACTTTTTGTTCAGAGAAATTCCGACCGTCTTCCAAATGCCATCAATATAACAGCTTTGGATTCTATGTTAAACACACGTTATCCACCAGACACTAATATTCTTCAAATGAGCTATCAATCATTTTTTGAAGAAGGTCTATTTGAGATCTCCTATGTGGACTTTTATAAACAATGCGCTCCAAACTATTGCTCCTATACATATGAAAAACACAACAATTATCTAATTATTATTTCGCGAATTTTAGCTCTGTGGGGTGGACTTACTCTTAGTTTCGGATATCTTGCTCCATGCATTGTTCGACTGTGGTTCACCATTAATACTTACTGTCACAGTAACAGAGTACATGCTGTCGCTTAATTTATTTTAAATGTTTGTTTGTCGTTGTATTATTCATGTAATTTTGAAATATGACATGAGGCATTGAAAAAACTTATGTCTGAGCAACATCTTTACATTCCATGCCCGAATGTCAGATGAATCGATGACAGTGATTAGTAAAGACAATAGATGTTACTACATCTTGTTCATATTACTGATATTTAGACTTTTAAGTTCACTATATGACAAATCGCTGCACAATAAGTTTTGTATTGTTCTGTGTTTTTTCTCAAAAACCTAATCTTTTTTTTGGAAAAATCTACAAAGCGTTAGGCTCGCGAAGATGCGATACATGTAAAAGGATGTGGGTGTGGCAAGGGTTGTGAAAATAATCAAAACACACTCACAATCTTTGCAACAGTAAGCAAAAGGACGTAAAAACGACTGTTTCACATGATTGTTTTGATCATATACAGAGAAAACTAATATGATTGTTCTTATGTTGTCCAGGGTAACTAAAAGAGAGCTAGACATACATAGCTACACAGAATGTAATGAGATCTTATAGTGGCTACTTTGAGTAGAGCCGAAGTATTGATATACTTAGAATTAAATGATATTAAGTCTAAGCAATTTTACTACTTTTTTGTTATGATCATTGAGAATAGGAGAATAAATAATAACATGATAGATGAGTGAAACATAAAGAAAGAGACCATAATACATATGATTGTTGGAAAAAGAACACCTTGCAATCTACAATGAGTGAACAGATGGTATTGTTTTTCTCCTGGTATAAATAAAGGTCTAGATAGACCATTTTTGAGGACAAACTTCAACACAAAATTTCTCAAAATGATGGAGAAAAAAAACGAACCGCATTCATACCGACTCTCATTTATGCATTCAACAATAGAGAATCTTGAAAATAAGTTTTTCTGTTAACTCTGCTGAGTTTAGAATGAACTTTGTTCAACTCTGGCTATAGAATTATCTCGATATTAGACGGACGATATTGTATCGATTGTGAAAATTTCCAACTTTCAATATCTAATTAAATTTACTGAATCTAGTTGAGCTAGCATTGTCAATATATTATTTGGTTGTTTTAGATGGAATAAGAATTGACTGGTAATAGATTTAGTGATTACGAAACTATCTATCATAATGACAAGCAGACATGTGTGGATTGTGTTCAATCTATTCTGGAAACGTGGAAGAAATTTTTTTTCTCAATTGTATCCATATCGTATACTATTGAAACCTTATCAATGATTAATTATTAAAAACAATTAGATTGTGCTCTTATATTTTTAACTGGAAATTATTATAGCAAGTATTTATTCAAAGCAGTTGTTCTAAAACACCCGCGTGATGAACAAGTATAACAGAAAAATGATCGACAAACTTAAAGAATATTATCATAATAAAAATAAGCAATTGAAATTAATTACCAAATGTAATTGTGAATATAACGTTGATGATGCTCAATGATAGTATTTAGGCCAACCATTTTTATACAAACAGTTGAATCTAGCTTTGCGCAATGTATTTAATATTGAGTTATTGTATACATTTCGTTATATCATATAATAGTTCCACATTAGATTGATAGTTTCGAGATCTTGAAAATACTGCTCATATTAAGGACAAAGTTGAATTTTATTCTTTCTGTTTTATTTGATGTAAACATAATTTTGCTAAATCTTGTAATTCGTTTAACAAACTTGCTGTGTGGTTTCATATTATTTTAAATCAACAAACTTCTCAGACATTGTTGTATCACATAATCAACAGTAGTATTATTCGCTAACATTCGGATTTGATTTCGTTTCAATATTTTTTTTTTGTGTTTTTCTTCTTTGCCAACAATAATGCATTTTGCATCTCGATTAGTGTCACCAATATCTTGGTAGATTTAGCATTGTTGAAGTAAAATATCAGATTTTATTTTCAATGAAAAATTTTTATCTATGGATCTCTTATCTGATAAAAGATTAATCAATCATGTTACTAAGTGTTCACTTTAGAGTAGTAGCACATCATTGTAAATAATATAAAATTTAGACATGATGATTCCTCATTTGTATGGCATCCCAATTGCAACGTCAGTACTTGTTTCGGCTTTGATGTTTATGATGATAACATCCAATTGTTTTTATTCAAGCGTAGAAAGATCGATTTGATATTTTGTATTCTTTTGAATTTCATAAGAGTGAATGAATGCTGCCAAACAAAGTCATTTCTGTTAAAAAGATGACTTATTTTCAACATTGTAAAATGATTTCAAAACAAAAATTTAAATAATAATAATTACTCTAGAAGTTTACTTTGTACGAGATAATTTACTTGAAGATCAATCGTCAAAATATTGAGATGTTGTTTATTGATTTCGTTTCAGATTTTATCAGTTGTTATTTGATCATTATTAGAGAAATGAATTTTGACCAAGATTTGCAGATGACTAATTAAGAACGAATAGTTCTTTTGTATTCATAAGTGTTAGAAAGTTCATTTTTTGATTGTTCATGATTACATAAGCATTCGTATTAGCTTTGAGCTGAAATTTGAATAATTCAACCACATTGATATGGTACATGAGATCTTGAAACTGACAAAGCTGCATAGGATGGAATGTGAAAAATGATCCCCTCGCTGGCTTCAGCAGTGCCAATGTGTAATGACAGTCTCCACTGGAAACTTCCTTTTCTGTGTTCAAGAAAGTGCCTGAGGCAGGTATGTACGCTTGACGATTACAGAAACACGCTCTTTTATTCTTTTACAGATGACTGAAATTGCGTAGTAATCATTTCCTCATCGTAATGAATTACTGATAGATGTTGATAGTGGAAGAAGACCACTAGTCCATAATTCGTACCCAGTTTTATTGCTTTGCCGTCTCACTATGATATGGTTAATATTAAAAAGCGAAAAAAAAGAAACTGAAATGAAATAACTATTATATGAATATTAAAATTAGTTCAAGTGGTTTGTTTTTATTTCATTTTAACTTTTGAATCAAGACATACAAAAATAAATTTATGTAATGAAAACTCAAAATATCCAATGAATTTAAGGTTAAATTTCCTACAAAGAAGAAAAACAAGCTCTGTTTTGTCTATATGCACGTGATCGTTTTACACACATGGTGATGGTTTTTTTTCGTATTGGTATCTTATCTCTGTGCGAAGCACGCATGAGAGAACAAGCAAAAGAAAGGTAAAATTCGCAAGAGATAAAAAAAAGGTATAACGTGAGAATATTGTCATCGTTATGTTGCGCATACTTTAATGTTCATTAGTTTGTTTGTGTATGGTTTTTTTTTGATCGTACAAAAGACGAACGAGAGAGCAAGCAAACAATGATGAAATTCTCAACCGAAAAAGACAACATATATGTGTTGAAATTATTCTCATCATTTTTCACGGTATGGTTGGATATACGAAGCAAATCGGATTTATTAAATATATATATACGCGAGATTATGCTTTAGTGTGAAGTCAAGAATAACGTCGACATATGTAATTGGTATTATCGTCGAGAACAGGTGGGATTTTCTACCAATACTACAAGCAAATGTATGTATTTGGAAAACTTTAGTCTCTTTAAAACTTGTTTTCAGTAATCAGCATAGAGCGGATCTTTTATATTCTCAAGTGGTGCCATTAACATTGTATAGGACTATCTTTCTATTACGGTACTTATTATTTGAGGACAAAAGGGTTTCAAGGTCCTTTCGGAAGGAACAGCATAGATCAGCTACTGTACAACCAATCGTCTTACAGAGTATTTGTAGTTAGTAATGTCAATCTGGTTTCTGATTTCTAGCTAAGAAATCAAGCTTCTCACAATTCTATTCTTTAACCATTCTAAGAGATTTTATCTCATGGAAAATAAGTGCTCCATAATTTTTGCCAAAATGGTTTTCGTTTAGTCTAGAGGTGACAGTTTATGATTATTCTTCTTTATAATGAAGGGTAAGATAAATGAATTATTAATCTTTAGAAAATAAAGATAAGTGTATAATTTATATTGAACAAATAAACATAAAATAAAGAAATAAAAGATTTTTTAAGAGAGATGATACAATGGGGCGAGTTCTAAGGTCAACAAATTGATTTCCGATTCTTTTGCTCTAATTTACTTTGTGCTTCCTTTCTGTAACGCTCACGGTTGATTGAATTTCATAAATGATGTTCAATCTTCCCCTATCATTCATTCGTTTATTATATATATTGCCCTCACCTTTCTATTCTTACGCTGCTGTCCTTACGTTATTATTCTTCCATATCCATTCTCTCTTTGGCCTCATCTCCTTTCTTTTCATCCTCTCTTCTTCTACTTGCGTATATAAGCCTGTGCTTTATATGTAAACGATATAATTATATCCTATGAAGAAATAGAATAAAGTGCATCCCTATCGACACTAACATCCTTTCCATCAGAAATTGTGACACTCACGACTCAATTTTTCACACCGAGAATCTCTCTAAGGTTTTGAGAAAGTTGTTAATCGCAGTTCTATTAGAATTCCTAATAGTTCAATAGCACTAAGTGAGCTGATTATAAATATCATATGTTTTTGAACTAATAGTGTACGAAAGCTCGAATTAGTTTCGCCAAGAACAGATTCATTTGATGCAGAACTCGT